CCTGTTTCCTTCTCATTCAGTCCCTGTACACCAGCTCCATTTCTTGCTGAGAACTGTGCTTGGCAAAAATCTCTTCGAGCTGGTGTCTGGGGGTCCACACTGTCCATGCCGGGTGACTGGGACCCCTCTGGGGCTGCAGTGTGAAAGACACAGACTTGTCCGAGCTGAGACAGTACCTGGCGTTGGCTGCCAGTACCCTGGACGTGCCCAGTGCTTGATTGGCGTGCCAACTGTTGGTGTGCCCGGAGATCTGCTGATCCACATACCTAACCAACTAGCCAGCAATGGCGAATGGGACATTTGAGCACCTCCCAAACCTTGATCTGAGTTTTCCCGTGGAGGCAACGTGATTCCAACAGATCCCTGAAACTGTTAGGAGCCAGCTGCAACTTCATGAGAACATTGTCCTTTGAAACCCATGATTTCTATAGTTATACAATGGGTTTGGACATAGGCAGAGGAGGTCTATCTGCGAAAGCTGTTTCCTCCCACAAAATAATTTTTTTTTTTTTTTTTTGAGACGGACTCTTACTCTGTTGCCCAGGATGGAGTGCAGTGGCATGATCTCGGCTCGCCACAACCTCCGCCTCCCGGGTTAAAGCAATTCTCCTTCTCAGTCTCCCGAGCAACTGGGACTACAGGTGCATGCCACCGTGCCTGGCTAATTTTTGTGTTTTTAGTAGAGATGGGGTTTCACTGTGTTGGCCAGGCTGGTCTCGAACTCCTGACCTTGTGGTCCGCCCACCTTGGCCTCCCAAAGTGATGGGATTACATGTGTGAGCCACCACGCCCAGCCAATAATTTTTTTTTTTTTTTGAGACCGAGTTTCGCTTTTGTTGCTCAGGCTAGAGTGCAATGGCACAATCTCGGCTCACCACAACCTCTGCCTCCTGCTTTCAAGCAGTTCTTCTGCCTCAGCCTCCCGAGTAGCTGGGATTTCAGGCATGCACCACCACGCCTGGCTAATTTTGTATTTTTAGTAGAGACGGGGTTTCACCATGTTGGTCAGTCTGGTCTTGAGAACTCCCAGCCTCAGGTGATTTGTGCGCCTCAGCCTCCCAAAGTGCTGGGATTACACGTGTGAGCCACTGCGTGTAAGGCAGCCACCATGCCTGGCCTACTTTTATTTTTTTTAAAGAGGAAGTCTCTGGGAGAGGTAGGACACTGAATTACTTAAGGATGAACAGCTGTTAGGTACAGTCTTTTAAAAAAATGTTTAATTGGTCCAGGTGCAGTGGCTCACATCTGTAATCCCACCACTTTGGGAGGCTGAGGTGAGAGAATTGCTTGATCCCAGGGATTTGAGACCAGCCAGGGCAACATAGCGAGATCCTATCTCTATAAAAAATTTAAAAATTAGCTGGTGTGCTGTTGCGTGCTTGTAGTCCCACCTACTCGAGAGGCTAAGATGGGAGGATTGCTTAAGCCTGAGAGTTTGAGGCCACAGTGAGCTGTGATTGTGTCACTGCACTCCGGCCTGGGTGATAGAGGGAGACCCTATCTCAAATACATAAATACGTAATTTTAAAAAGTAACAAGAACTAAAATAGAAACGTTTGAATTGACAAGTAATAATTATATATATTTTGGGAGGAGATATATTCTTCAAGGGGATGCAGAATCTTAGAGGTCCTGTGTACCAACAGTGGAAGGCATTTCAGGGGACAAGAAGGAAGTTCAGAAATGTGAAGAGAAGACTGGGCACGGTGGCTCATGCCCATAATCCCATCACTTTGGGAGGCTGAGATGGGCAGATCATTTGAGGTCAAGAGTTCGAGACCAGCCTGG